GTCATCAGTTTGTTTAAAATAATTATGTTACTCAAATAATTTACAGAAAGCCACAACCTTAGTCCCAGACAGAGGTCAGAAACACATGTGACCTGAGTTTTGTAGCTAATTACCGTACTATTTGTTGTCTGTAGCTCCACAACATGTTTTTAACCTCTGACGCAGATCGAGTGGTGTTAATGTGCTTACAAACTTCTTTTACGATGTTAAATGAAATACTTAGCTTTGGTTCCCAGGTTGATCAAAGTACCTAATCCTATTATACTCCAAATATTTTCGGCAGTGGAAATAGAGATAGAATTCATGTCTGTCTGTCATTTTTTGGGATAAGTCGGTAAACGAGCAAACGGATCACATCATGATGGTAAGCAATTGGGGTCGCCCATGGACACCTGGATCACCAGAGGCATTACGTCCTTTAGAGAATTGGGAATTTGAGGATTGTTGAGTTTTGGGGAAATAGTGGAAGGAGTGTAACTGGGCCTCCACTTTACTCACACGACGAAACACAACGCAAACATTGTTTCATGTCAGTTTTCTGTGATTCGAGCCGGCCCATTTGTGCCCAAGCATGGCTCTGAACTGAACTGTCTATATGAATAAAGGCGATAAATTTAAAACGGTTTTACAAGACTTACTCAGGTAGTGCGAATATTGAAGAAGGTTCAGAAATTGCTATGGCTTCCTGAATTGAAAGCTAGTTAATTAGAATTTATTATACTGGTCACTGTAGCTAACCACCTTTTCTTAGAAATTCAATTGTCGAAGTATGCTTCAAATTTTTTTGCTTTAGTTTTTAAGCATAATTAAATAAATTATTATGTTTTCGGCTTACTCACGTAATAATTTGACGAGGAACTCTACTAGTTTCAAGCCATGCTAGAGGCTCATGTTCATGAGCATTTCGCGACCCGTGACGCGGCGACTGTCGCGCTGCTAGTGAATATTTAGTATAGTATGTCTCACGAAAGTTGCAATACAAACATAATTAAATAAAATATAATATTCGTAACTAGTTAAAAGTGTGACTGAAAGAGTTTAGGCACCTAATTTCACTGACGGACTGACTGACAGACTATTATTTATTTTGTATTTGTTGACGTTTGACTGACGTTAG